TGACACACACCTTTAATCCCAGCGCTCGAGCTAGGCAGATCTCTGTGGGTTCAAGACCAGCCTGGTCTACAAGAGCTAGTTCTAGGACAGCCTCCAAAAGCCACAGAGAAACTCTGTCTCGAAAAAAACCAAAACAATAAAATAGCATCTTTAAGTCAATACTTAATTTTAAATCAAAAGATTAGTGGCCTTTGTTTTAACAAGTTGGGAAGTAATAAGTACAAATAAAAGACTGTAGGATTTAACTTTGTTTTGGGGCAGAGTCTTGCTGTATAGCTCTGGCTGGTTTGAAGCTCAATATGTAAATGCGGCTGGCCTCAAATTTGTAGTGATCATCCTTCCTCTGTCTCCCTCATGCTGGGCTTATAGGGCCACCATGCCTGACCCAAATATTTGGAGGACTGTGAACAGAAACAAGTCCTCCATTCCTCTGCTAAGTAACATCATTTGCTGCCTGTCACTTCTGCAGATATCCCCCTTTCCTCAACATTTTTCTACAATTTAAAATTAAAGAATATCATAATAATACAAAGATCAAGTTCATACTCAGAATAAGGCATCTAAGCAATGTGAGTTGTCTATTTGTTTGACTTGCTAAACTGATGCACAGCTCAATCAGGAGAGTCACAGGCTGAGCCTTGGAGAAGGTTCCTAGACCAAGAGCAGCAAGCATTATGCAAAGGAAGCAAAGGCAGGGCTGTAGCCAGCCAATGAACACACCTTACCAGGATGGCTTTGAACACTGAAAATTTTCTAAACTTAGTGGAGGTTTTTTTTTCTAACTCATCTTACTCTGATCAGTCAATATAGACATTTAAAAAAAAAAAAAAAAAAAAAAAAAAAGCCAGAGAAAACCCCCAAACCATGCTGGTTGTCTTTCTGCAAACCTTTGGCTGGAGGCCATGGGGTGCTCCCTATGCGAGTGTGGCAGCACATCTGTCTGGCAGGATGGGTCCGCAGCAATGAGGGATGACTGGCGTTCTGTCACTAAAACTGTGGACAGATGAAATCTGCTAATGTAGGTGTGAAGGCCAGCATGTCTTAGTTAAGTCATATAACTGCCTTCCAACTGTAAAACAGTGTTTTATATATATTACAGTCGGACATGTAATCATGTTGACCTAATTTTTGGAAGTAATCTTTCTGTTAAGGGTTAGGAGAGTTGCTAACAAACACAACCAGGGCATAAAAAAGACAACTACCTTGTTTTCTGGGCTATGGGTGGATGACTGACAGTGGATGATGTCACTAACAGGCAATTATAACATCCAACATTCCAGAAGTATTTAGTAATTTGTTTTGAAGAAACACAGCTTCCAAAAGAACAAAAAGATACTCCAAATATTTATTTGGATGGCTGCATGCCGAAGGAAATTGAAATGCATAAAATAAAGAAATTAATCCTAATTCCAAGAAGCATCAAATATTTTGCCAAAAAGTTAAACAGGGAAAAGGATTCAAACATTTTTTGGTAAGGTGGGCTGGAGATAGAGAGCACTCACTGAGCATGTGCAAGGCCTTGGGAAGTTTATGAGCAGATGAACTACCTGGATCACTGGGGCACTTCCTACAGGAAGCCTATTTCCTTTGAAAATGTTATAGATGACAATGAGTCTCCCATGTATAGCATGATGCTGTAAAAACACCAATTCTACAGAGCCACAGATTCCTGGTCCCAGGTCTGGCTATGCCTATCTGAATCAGAATTTCCAGTCTTTAGTCTGAACAGCTCTCTGGGCCACCATGGGCCATCAAGTGCAAAGACTGAGCCTTGAAGCAGTTTTACCACAGCAGCCTTGCTGTGGTGAGTCTAACTGTAAATATCTGGCTATACCTACTACTCAGTTTCTAGGATCTTGTGAGTTAGAAAGTGTTATAAGGAATATTCTAATAAGGACTGAAGTGAGATTCAGCTTTAGTAAGGATGGGATTTACATGCCTAATCAAGCTTTTCTTATGTCTAGTATGCTTTCCAAACACCTGGACAAATCTTCATTTTCCCCCTAAAATCATATAACATAATTCCATTATAATACAGGAATATAAAAATGGAAGCATTGGTCATATATATATATACACACACATATATATACAACACAGAATGTTCTACATGTACTCCATGTTTATCTTACAGCATATTTATTTATAGAGAATACTTCTTCCAGGTACATAACTCTCAGGCAGAGCTGTCATTCATCTGAAAGGTGCTATAGAAAGGGCTAACAGGACAGACTAGGCCAGTCAGGAGAAAGGCTTGTGAATGTGCATAATTTAGAATGGTCACAGTAGGTGGTCATTATGCAAAGCAGAAAAGATGCTATCAGGAAAGGATTTAGAATGTTATAGACTTATAATGGGCTTACCAATAATACTAGAAGCTCAGATATTACTATAATTAAATAAATACCAATATGAAGGAGTAACATGTGACTTGAAGAACCCCAAACTTTTTATTTATGATACTTACTATATCCTAGGATACTTAAAATTATTTTTTCTTCCTAATGCTCATTGTTGAAATAGTGGCACAAATCTTACAGAGGTAATCAGCTGTTCTAGATAGTTTTATGTTAACTTGACAAATGGCTGAAGTCATCTGAGAGGAGGCAATCTCAATTAAGAAAATGCTTCCAGAGTTGGTTCAGTGGTACCTGCAGAAGACTGACGATCAATTCTCAGCACCTACATAGAAGCTCACAAACTGTGTACCTCTAGTACCACAGAATCTGATGCCCACTTCTGACCTCTTGGGCACACGGTGCACACCAGTGAATGCAGGCAAAAATACTCATACCCATCATAAAATAGAACAGTGGGCAGGCCTACTTTTGTTAATTAATGATTGATGGGCAAGTACCAGCCCATTGTGGGTGGTGTCATTGTTGGACTGGGTTCTACAAGAACCCCTCTATGGTCTCTGCATTAGTCCCTGGCTCCAGGATCTTGCCATGCTTGAAAACTTACCCTCACTGCTTTGGATGATGAAATGTTATACAGAACCATAAGTGAAATAAAACCTTCCCTCCCCACCACACTCTTGGACATGGCATTTCATCACAGCAACAACAATATTCTCATTGGATTTGAGGCTTACTCTATATAAATAATCCATGTGTGGAGTTGTGAACCTTGCCAAGGATCCTACTGCTTTCATTTTGCTAAGCAGCCATGAAACTGCCTTGTAAACATCTATGTCCACCCAGCATATAACAGCCAACCTGGGTAAGAGAAGCTTCTTTCTGCAATGGGTAGAAACTAAGGCAGACACAAAGAACTGATCAGAGTGCTGAGAACACGTGGCTGTTGAGTGCTCACCAACACTCACAGAAGATGAAACAGAAAGAACCTAAGAGTGGGAGATGAGGAGCAGTATAGGCAAATGATGTCTCCTGGACAGGGCGTGGCTGGGACTCTTGGGAACTTACAGCAGCTATGGTTACCTGCATAGGTCTGAACAAGATAATGTCAATAATAAGGTCAGTAAACATTCCAGAGTGCAGAACTAAGAATTGGGAAGGGGGAGCTATCAGGGTAAGAAGGTGAGTGTGGAGTATCTGAGGGCAGCGGGAGTGGGGGTCAGGGTGGATGTGGGGGGTGGAGATCTGGGGGTGAATATAACCAAGACACCGTATACATTTATGAGCTTGTCAAAGAATAAATTAAAGACTTAACAAAGAAAAAATGTTTGTTTGTTTTTTAAATTTACAGATTAAAACCATTACCCGAAACTTTTCAGGATGAGGTGCCACAACATTTGGCACAGAACAAGTTTGCTTATGATAGCATGAAGAATATTTGGTTTTTTTAGAGACGAAGGATCTCACATAGCCTAGGCTGGCTTCAGACTAACCATTTAACAGATGATGGCCTTGAATTTCTGATCATCCTGTCTCCACCTCACAAGTGCTGGGGAAAGCATTAATATTTGACAGTTTAAACAGGTTTGCCTATTTCAACATCAGGAAGCAGAGGCAGGCAGGGTGGATCTCTGTGAATTTTAGGCCAGCTTGGTCTACATACATAGAGTTCTAAGTCTGCCAGGGCTACATAGTGAGTGTCTCAGAGGCAAAAATAGTTTTGTTCAAATCTTATAAAATGTCTTTTCATTAAGTTAGGCTTCTCATTTACATCCCTATTTATTATACAGAGAGATTTATTTTTTACAGTCATAGTTTAGAAGAACTGCAGAAAACAAATCTTTAATTACAAGATCAGGAACTTACACACACATACAACATTTAAAAGTCCTTTTTTTTTTTTTTTTTTTTTTTTTTTTTCTATTTCCCTTTATTATGTCTTAAAGGGGTCTGACTGCAATATCTAGTTCCAGATGCTGAATCTCCTAGTAGGTCAGCTGGTAAGTTGGGAGAAGCTAGTGACAGGAAGCTTTCCCTCTATACTAGGTCTCTGTTTACAAAAGGCTTAAAAACTCATACTCAACATTGATTTCCACAAATCTTGTTATCATTAAGCTATTTTAACTTGAAACAGTATTCAAGATCGTTACCAAAATGTATTAATTTCTAAAAAACAAGGGGACTTATATAAATGTTAACAATTTTTTTTAACTTAGAGACACTTAGCATACAAATATCTAGAAGACATATTGCTCTTATCCATTTTTTCTTAATTTAAATAAAATACTAATCAGTAAGAGTTTTTAATTATTTTGATTGTCAGTTATGTTTCTCTAGGGATACTGTACTCACCTGCCAGTCTTTTTTCTTTTTGATTTTTCAAGACAGGGTTTCTCGGTGTAGCCCTGGCTGTCCTGGAACTCACTTTGTAGACTAGGTTGTCCTTGAAATCACAGAGATCCTTCTGCCTCTACCTCCTGAGTGCTGGTATTAAAGTCATGTGTCAACACTGACTAGCTTTTCAACCAGTACGAACTAGTCCTGGATTGTTGCCTTAAAAGCAAAAACTCAATATAAAAGCATTAAAATGTTTGCCTTTTATTTGTTATTATACAAAGTAGATGACCTCCAGCATGTCCTCACCTTCCTCTAGTGGCCTTCTGCAGAACCTTCATTCCCACCATGCTGCAGGACTTTCCTTCTAACTGTATGTTCTTCCAGAGGGTGCCATCCAAGTACACTTCCCCAAACATCCCACAGGCGTCTTGGACTAGAAGGCAGGACCTGTAAAGAGCAGCATATTTATTTCTAAGTAAGAGGATCAAGAAGACCCCTGTCTTTTCCCCTGAAACTCCATTGCAGTCATCTTTCTAATGATGAGTAAAGGCAAATAAAGTTTGACTTAAGTACATTTCTTTGTGGTGTGTGTGTGCACATAAGTTATGGGCATTTGCATGGCTTAGCATATGCATGAAGATCAGATGATAACTTGTGGGAGGCAGTTCTCACCTTTCATCAATTTAGTCCTGAAGACTGAATGCAAATTGTCAGGCTCCAAAGCAGGTCCCTTTGTCTGCTGAACCATCCTGCTGAACTTTGTTTTGATTTTGTACATACAAGAATTCAGATTACTAGCCACAAAATACAGGAGACAAAATTATCTTTCAGCATGCAAGCTTCAGCTATTGAAAACCTGAAAAAGATGACTACACTCTCACACTAAATGCTGCCCAGAAACAAAGTGTCCTCCTTCTCGACTTCTATTCTCTTCCCAGATGCTCAACACTTTAAGCTTCGGTGCACAATGTTGAGAATGATGTAGAGCTTTCACTGAGAATGTAAAGAAATCAGACATGCACGCTCCCAAAAGATAAAAATCTCTCTGTTGTCTACTGTTGTGATAAGACACTACGACCAAATGCAAGTTGGAGAGGAAAGGATTTATTTCATCTTACACTTCCTAGATCACAGTCTACCATAGAAAGAAGTTAGGGCAGGAACTCAGGACAGGAGGCTGGAGGTAGGGACTGAAGCAGAGGCCATGGAGGCACACTGTATACTGGGATACAGATTATATATTCTGAGGCTATTAAAAATATAAACATTTAAAATTAAATACCATCCCGATAGTTAAACATTTTGGTCAGTATTGGTGAGTTTTCCACTCTTAATAATGTACTCTTTAGGGAGCTAGAGGGATGGCTCAGCAATTAGGAGTACTGCCTGCTCTTCCAGATGACCTAGGCTCAATTCCCAGCACCCACATGGCAGTTCATAACTGTCTATAATTCCAGTTCCAGGGGATTTGACACACTCACATAGACACATATGCAGGCAAAACACCAATGCACATAAGATAAAAATAAGTAAATAATAATGCACTCTTTCTTAAATCACTGTGTCCACTCTCTTGAGTTTTCTTTTTTGCTTGCTTTTCCTTTCAAGACAAGGTCTTAAGGAGCCAAAGCTGGCCTAGAGCTCCTGATCCTCCTATTTCTACCTCACAAGTGCTGGAATTTTTTAAACAACATCTCACTCTGTAGCACAGGCTAGCCTGAACTTCTAACCTAGCCTTGAGCCTCCTGAGTGCTACAGACATGAGCCACAATGCGTGTATGCACATGTACCACAATATGCATGTGGACTCAGAAGAAAACTTGGTGGAGTTGTTTCTGCTCTTCCACTTTTATGTGGGTTCTTGGGATTAATTCAGTCATTAAGCTTGCTGAACAAGGCCTTCACCCATGGAGCCACCTCACTGGCCCCATAGAGTACTGTATACATAGTTTTAGTATTGGTATTCTATATGTGTGTGTGAGGCTATCTTTCCTTCTTAAAGGTATGGGACCCCAAGTGCTGAGATCTCCTTTGTGTGAGCTGTTTCTCTTTTAGACTTATTTATTCTAATGTAACTCTGGGTGACCCTGAACTCATAAAGATCTATCGGCCTTTGTCTCCTGAGTCCTGGGTTTAAAGGTGTGTGCCACCACAGTGTGGATTCTTTAGCTAACTAGTGTGGCTGGTGGCATTAAAGGTGTTTATCACCACTGCCTGGCTCTATGGCTGTGGCTAGCTTTGCATTTTTATCTCCAGTGGCTTTATTAAATCATAAACAATGTATCATCACAGTAATCATGGAATCATTTCATGATGCTAATTTTGCTTCTTCACTTCCAATTCTGTTTGTTTTGCTTTGTAATAGTGTGAGCAAAAATTCCTGAAAAGAAGATGTGCCTGGCTGTGAACAAAATACCCCTGGAAGAAGTCTGTGACTGCAGAGACTGGCAGAGTGACTGGAATCTTGGTGCTGTGCAGAGATTTGGATTTTGCAGGTTTGGATGCTAATTACTTTATCTAGGGCTAGTGTTAGCCTTCTGGAACAACCATGCCTTGTCCCATTCTGTATCTGAACTAACACCTCATGATAGTAAGTAATGCATAGCTCTTAGAAGCTATTAGCTTTAGCAGAACACTAGTTTCCACCATTCCAAGAGTTATAAATGTCATCAGATAGCACCTTAGGCCTCTCCACCCATTTTTTTGTACCTACCTCTCTGGTGCATCTACCAATGTGTTTTAAACTTGACTTGATTTTTTTCTCTGTTCCATAAAACTATAAACTTTCTGAAACTGCTTCCACATTAGAACATGGAATTTGGGTAATCTACATCTGTGTTTCTGAGCCACAGTCACTCATAATGGCTTTCAAGGAATAAACTATCTATTACTCTCTTTAATTCCAGCACCTAAGAAAAGTGACTCTTTTTCCCCTACCAGCCATTAACTGCCCACAGCTTCTCAGCCAGGGGTGAGGCCTCTAACCTTTATCCTTGCTGGACTGTTGCTAGGCCCACAGCTGCTGTGAGTCCCTGAGAACAGTGGCTATGCCATGTCCAAAGGACAGCACTTTACAGCTGTCTTGGGCTTTGATGCTAATGCTGTGATAAAAACACCAATGAAAACCAACTTGGGAAGGAAGGGTTTATTTCATCGGATAGCTTATAGGCAGGAACCTGGAGGCAGGAGCTAAAGCACAGACTGTGGAGGAGCACTGATTACTGGCTTGCTCAACACTTCCTATATGATCCAAGACCACCTGCCCAGGGGTGGCCTCACCAAAATGGGCTGGGACCTCCCACATTAATCACTAATTAAGAAAATGCCCTATAGATTTTTCTACAGGCAGATCTTTTTTCCCCCTTTATTTTACATATTGATCCCAGTTCCCTCTCCCTCCCATGCTCCTCCCAATCCTTCCTCCCATCCCATTCCCCATCCACTCCCCAGGGAGGGTAAGGCCTTCCAGGAGGGATCATCAAAATCTGTCAAGTCATTTGGGGGTAGGGCTTAGGCCCTCCCTCTACAGGAAGATTTTATGGAAGCTTTTTCTTTTTTGGCCTTTTGAGGACAGGGTTTCTTTGTGTAGCTTTGGAGCCTGTCTTGGAACTGACTCTGTAAACCAGGCTGGACTTGAACTCAAGAGATCAGCCTGCCTCTGCCTCTGGAGTGCTGGGATTAAAGGGAAGCTTTTTCTTAATCTAGAGTCCCCTTTCCCAAATGACTTATGTCAAGTTGACACAAAGCTCATCTCCCTCTCTTTGGATATATTTCTTGAGTCTTGGCGATAGTAAGATAGGTAATATAGATGGCTTGTTTAGGGAAGAACAATCAACAGTCACTTATTCTCAGGACTTTGATCAGGCATGAATTTCTGCATTAACCAATGCCTACTGCAAAAAGAAGCTCTGTGGCTGACATTGAAACCACTGCTATATGGGTCTAAAAACAAACATCCAGAAGACAGCTATCCACTCATGGCCACAACAGTGCTGCAATAGTGGCACTCTTGTAACAGCACTGGCACATTCTTCCCAACAGGCAAGACCATTCCAAATGAAGCCTTCTGTGAAAGCTACCCAGCAGAGAGGAAGCATCTGGCTCAGCTCCTGTGGGATTTGTGTGTGTTGTAATGTTATCACCAACATGCTCTCATCATCTAGTTCCAATAAACAGCTGTGCTGGTTGGTATCTTGGTTTATAAGGATCAGGATAAACAATTAGGCCGAACAGATGTTTATTCAGGGAGTAATAACTCACAACACCAACAGGTTCCTGCTTCTAAGAATTCCTCTGGAAGTCCTCCTGTCCCCTTGCGGCTTGCAAGTGAGCGCTCTCCCGAGCCTCCTCCGACCTAGTTCCCCAGGTCACTTCCGCCCCTGGCTCCACCCCCCAATGGCTGTGGTTAGTGCCACAAAAGGAGACAAAGTGAATATCCCACTACAGGTTGGGATGAGAACACCTCCCACAGGCTCATATACTTAGACACTTGGTCCCCAGTTGGGGGCACTGTCTGTGGAGTTGGGGGAAACTTTAGGAGATGGCACCTTGCTAGAGGAAGTAGTCACCAGGGGCCTCACCCTACTTATTGTCTGTGGAGGAATACACGAACAGCTAACTGCTTTTGCCACTATACTTCCCTCATGTTGCTATGCCTCTCACACTGTGTTGGTTTCTATCCCCTTGGAATTCTAAGCACACCCTTTCATTCCTGAAATGCTTTTTGATTATGGTACTTTTTTTTTTTTTTTTAATCGCAACAGAAACATATATATGGAAACACAACCCAAAAGATACAATACAAATGGCTGTATTTTAAAACCATTTTAAAAAATGTTCCATACCATTAGTCAGCAGGAAAATACAAATTAAAATCACTTTGTGATTTCATACTCCCACACCCAGCAAAATTTCCAGGATTAAAAAAGGAAGGAAGGAAGGAAGGAAGGAAGGAAGGAAGGAAGGAAGGAAGGAAGGAAGAAAGAAAGAAATTAAAGAGACAGATGCTAGCATAGATGTAGGGAAAAGGGAACATTTATTCACTGACTGTGGGAGTGCAAACTGATAGTCATTATGAAGATCAGTGTGGAGGTCAAAAAGCTAAGAATAGATACATCAAGAGATTCCAACTTAAAAAAAAAAAAAAAAAACTTTTGATTTTTCAACCCAGGCTGTTGCCAATAGATTGTTCTCCACAAACTGACAGGGTGAGCTAGAGCCTACATAGAACCTTCACCCCACTGAGACATTTTGGTAATATACATTTTTGTTGTAGGTTTTCCACTTGTCTTCCTCACTCTGTTTATAGCCCTAAAGGCACTGATAACTATTTTTCCTACCATTTTAATCTTTTATTAATTTAATGTTATGATTCTAATGGGGGAAGAGACTTGCCATGGAATGTGTAGGGAGGTCAGGTCATAAGTTAGTGGAGTAGGTTCTCTTCT